TAAATGGGCCTCAGAAAACAATATGATGTTCAATAATGAGAAATTTCAATTACTCAGATATGCAAAAAGTGAGAAAATTAAAACTATCTAGAACGATAATAAACTTGTTGAACTGGGCATAAGAATTAACAACTGGGCGTCTGCACTGCAAACTGAACTGTTTGCAATCCTAATGGCGCTAAAGCTAATTTATGACACTGAGCTTGACTCTATCATCATTACTGATTCTATGTCATCATTGAAGGCTGTTGACTCATATAATGACTCCAATAACATGCTCATTGGAGAAGCCAGGTATAGATACTCAAAAATCCAGGACAAAGGAATAAATGTACAATTGCTATGGATCCCATCACACATTGGATTACTCCTTCATGATAAAGTTGATATGTTAGCCAAGAAGAGTACCCAGACGGAGAATGTGCAATATAACTTTGGTATATCTGTGTCTAGAATTAGGAATAAAATTAGGAGAGAAGTAAATAATGAAAATGATTGCTATAGGAATGCAGTTAGAAGCCTGAGTAGATCTATAACCCACTAAGATATCATGAACGTAGATAAGTATGTTTATGGAGCAACTTGCAATGTGAACAGACTGACTGATGTTGTAGTGGCCAGGCTTAGGCTTGGTTACAAGTACTTCTAGCAGTTGAGGAGACACACTAGTTTTGATCAAACTAAATGCAAATTATGTGATCAGGCATATGGTTACTGTCTTGAACACTGTGCTTAATTGTCCACTTACTGAGGAATACAGAGACAGACAGTATAATAACCTATGCGACATGTCAAGATATCTTATTAATGAAAATAAGATACCAATATACTAAGCAAATTTCCTAAATTTGCTTGTACAGATAAGTGAACTGTAGATATGTAGATATAAGCCCATGTGTACTTCTGTTAACCCTTTTGGGGCCTAGTTCCTAGGACTTTTGTGTATCAAACCACACCACGGACGGGGATAGAACGCACGATCAGAGTCACGAAATCGTCATGTTGACGACTTTGAGGGGACTTGAGCTAGAGTTCGTCCGGCCACGCTAGCTGGAGATTCGTCTGTAAAAACTTGCATTTGTGGTCACAGTGGTGCCTATGCTAACCTTCCTATGGTGTAGAAATATACCTAGTTGGATGAATCTTGTTGTGGCTAGCTGGTCCAGTGGCTAACGCGACGGTCTTGAGTTCTGAGACTCTCTGATCGCGGGTTCTATCCCCGTCATGGTATGGTTTGTTTGCAATCGTGTCATTACGATTTCGTGAGTCACTTTTGTGTATCCATATGCTCTTGCGCTACCATCCTCAGGCTGGATATGGGGTGCACAATAAACTAGCGACTTCGGTGGCAAAATCTAATCTCTAAATCTATCGGATTATAAAACAAATTCCAACCACACAATAGAGCGAGAAATTAATGTAAAAGACCTGGAAGTGATCATGTCAGAGGATCTCACATTTAAAGACATTAACAATGTATCAATCGCATCTGCTAGAAAAATGACAGGATGGGTAATGAGAACCTTTAAAACTAAGGATTCCAAGCCCATGATGACACTCTTCAGGTCACTTGTTCTATCTAGGCTGGAATATTGCTGCACACTAACAGCACCTTTCAAGGCAGGTGAAATTACTGACCTAGAAACTCTACAGAGGACGTTCACGGCACACACAACTGCGATTTAACACTTAAATTACTTGAAGTTCCTCAACCTATACTCCTCAGAATGCACCCGGTAGAGATACGCGATTATATACACTTGGAAAATCCTAGAGGAATTAGTACCAAACTTGCACACGAAAATCACTCCCTATGAAAGCAAAAGACTCGGCAGACGATGCAACATCCCCGCAATGAAAAGCAGGAGTGCCACTAGCACGATAAGAGGTAAGTGTCAGGGGTCCAAGACTGTTCAACTGCCTTCCAGCATATATAAGGGGGATAACCAATAGGAGTCAATAATCGCGGTAAGAACTAAAAGCCATAAATGAAATCGAAAGAAACCCAAAGTATTTCTTTCTTATGCCAAATCAAAGTAGAGAATAACATCTAGAATTGGGCCTCTACTTAAACAAGATGGGTCCTACACAGATGACTGCATGGAAATGAGTTTGCTACTTAATAAGTCCCAATATGACTCGGTTTTCAGCGAACCGCTAACCAGACTGAGAGTCGAAGATCTAAATTAATTTTTTTATGAGAGAGCCACAGAATTTGGAAAGCACAAGCTTATCTGACATTATCCTCACGCCAAATGACTTCGAAAAGGCTATACATGACATGTCCATGCACTCTACCCCAGGCCTAGACACATGGAACTCCGTGTTCATCAAGAATTACAAGCAGCCTCTATGACGTGCCCTTAACATCATACGGAGAGGGAGCATGGACCCTAGGGTAGTCCCACAGCTGCTATAAACAACAGACATAGCACCACTCCACCAAGGGGGCAGTAAAGCAATATCCAAGAACCACAGACTGATAACGCTAACGTCCCACATCATAGAAATCTTTGACTCACGAAATCGTAATGACACGATTGCAAACAAACCATACCACGGCCGGGATTGAACCCGCGGTCAGAGAGTCTCAAAACTCCAGCCCGTCGCGTTAGCCACTAGACCAGCTAGCCACAATAAGATTCGTCCAACTAGGTATATTTCTACACCATAGGAAGGTTAGCACAGGCACCACTGTAACCACAAATGCAAGTTTTTACAGACGAATCTCCAGCTAGCGTGGCCGTGACGAACTCTAGCTCAAGTCCCTTCACTGCCGTCAACATGGCTAACGTGACGGGCTGGAGTTTTGAGACTCTCTGACCGCGAGTTCAATCCCGGCCGGGGTATGGTTTGATAGAAATCTTTGAAAGGGTTCTAAGAAGCAAGATCACCAAGCATCTAGATACCCATCAGTTACAGAACCCAGGGCAGCATGGGTTTAGAGCAGGTCGCTCCTGTCTGTCCCAGTTACTGGATCACTATGACAAGGTCCTGGATGCTCTAGAAGACAAACAAAATGCAGATGTAATATAGACAGACTTTGCAAAAGCCTTTGACAAGTGTGACCACGGTGTAATAGCACACAAAATGCGTGATAAAGGAATAACAGAAAAAGTTGGTAGAAGGATCTATAATTTCCTCACAAATAGAACACAAAGCGTAGTAGTAGTAAACAGTAAAGTCTGAGGCGGCTACGGTGAAAAGCTCTCTTTCTCAAGGCAAGTAATGGCTTCCATCTTTTTCCTCATCCTCATTTCTGATAGACAGGGATATAAACCACAGTGCCATGTCTTCTTTTCCTGATGACACCCGAATTTGTATGACAAAGACACCGCAAGACTTCAGGCGGACATCAACCAAATCTTTAAATGGGCTTCAGAAAACAATATGAAATTCAATGATGAGAAATTTCAATTACTCCGATATGGAAAATGTGAAAAAATTAAAGCTACATCGGAGTATACAACAAGTTCCAACCACACAATAGAGCGAAAAACTACTGTAAAAGACCGGGGAGTGATAATGTCGGAAGATCTCATCTTCAAAGACCATAACACTATCAATAACATCTGCTAGAAAAATGACAGGATGGATAATGAGAACCTTCAAAACTAGGGATGCCAAGCCCATGATGACACTCTTCAGGTCACTTCTTCTATCTAGGCTGGAATATTGCTGCACACTAACAGCACCTTTCAAGGCAGGTGAAATTGCTGACCTAGAAAATATATAGAGAACCTTCACGGCGTGCATAACTTTCGATAAAACACCTCAGTTACTGGTAACGCTTGAAGTTCCTAAACGTGTACTCCCTAGAACGCGGAGGGAGATATATATGATTATATACACCTGGAAAATCCTAGAGGGATTACTACCAAACTTGCACACGAAAATCACTCCCTATAAAAGCAAAAGACTCGTCAGGAGATGCAACATCCCCCCAGTGAAAAGCAGGGGTGCCACTAGCACAATAAGAGACAACACAACAAGTGTCAAGAGCCCAAGACTGTTCAACTACCTCCCAGCATACATAAGGGGGATTACCTAGAGACCCTTGGCAGTCTTCAAGCAGGCACTGGATAAGCACACAAAATCAGTACTTGACCAGCCAGGCTGTGGCTTGTACATCGGTTTGCGTGCAGCCAGCAGTAACAGCCTGGTTGATCAGGCCCTGATCCACTATGAGGCCTTGTCACAGATGAGCCGCGGGGGCGCTGAACCCCGGAACTCTCTCTAGGTATAATCCAGGTATACACACAAAGAATTTTTATCCATACCAAAAAATAGATTTACTGATATGCAATGTTGGAATAGTTGTATAAATGAACGCGTTCATGAACGTGTATTAGACGCACCAGTTAACATGTACTGGACGCTACACGTGATTTGTTTACTCTTGAACATCGGGAAAAATCAAACATTTCTGCTACTAATTTGAGCTCAATTTCAAGCTATTTCCAGTACTAAAACCAATCAAGATCATCTCTATTTCTGTAATATATCTTCCATTTTATCAAATGAGACCAAGAAACCGATAATACAACAGTTAAACCCATACAAAAATACACTGCAAAGTCGCTGTTTTAATCCAAAAATACGATCGCAATTTTTTTTTCTCATTATGTACTGCATGCTGCAGGATTTGTTTTATGTAGTGAACACTTTGCCACATTCATGCATTCTCTTATATCTAGGCTCAAATTTACCGCTCACAGCTTATCAGAAAGAGCTGAGCTCATGACATTGTTTTAACACTTGGACCCTGGGACGGACCCTCAGAGGGTTAAGTGCAACCTGTGTAGTTATGTATATATTGCTGTACATCAAATTTTCGATTCTTCGATTCATCTTCAGAAAAAAATTTCTAATGTTTTGGAAGAATTTTTCCTTTAAAAAATCCTGACTCAGAAGGAACTTTCAATCTGGGGGCTGTTGGCAGTTTAGGAGTATCTCCCACATAGAGTGTTATTACTTATCCATTTTTTTTACTTTCACAG